TCATTCTCCGAAAATAATATCTTTGTGTTTCCGGAGGGGACTGACTGGAGTTCTTTGTGCCCATCGATGCTATCACCGGGGTTATCGTTCTCTACGGATCTAGCCAATGTTTTCCGAAGGGTTGACACAAGAGTTAACAACTGAACACGAGTCAATCAGTCTAAACGGAAATTCAGATGGAAAAACAAATTTTGCAACCTTGAAAAAATTTCTCCAATTTTCCTTACCGAAGAATCGTCATTTCCTTACAGCGATTGGTTTTTTTAGCCGAGGATATACGGGTAAATAAACTCAAGGTTTTGAAAAAAATCGATAATATTTCCAATTTCCTATGTAATAAGCTACTTAAGAAAAATCTTCAGCCATTATTTCCCAGATTACATCCAATTGCATCACCGTTTAATAGTTTTTCATCAATTCTTTGCAAAAACATTTGTTTCCATGCTATATTGTTTCCTTATTTGTTTCTTACTTTTATTCTTTCTTTAAATCTTTCTTTGGTTATTTTTTTAATTTGTTTCTTTATGTTTTTGATTCTTCATATCTTATAGTATTTGTTTCGTTCTTTCGTCTCTCTCCCTCTCTTTCTCTCTCCCTCACCTCTTTCTCTCTCGTTTTTAAAATCTTTTCATGGTTTTTTAATCCCTTCTTTTTCTGTCATTTTATCCAGGTTTCTGCGTCTCTTGATTTGTTTGCTTTCCGTCATATTATTTCATTGTTAATTAGTCTATGTTTCTTCTTTTTTTATTATATATTTTTTTTTTACTTTGCTTTTTGATTCTTAGTTATATTACTTCATTGTCACTGGGTTTTTCTTTCTTTTTATCTTGGTTTATTTTGTATTTATCTCGTTGTCTATTTATTTGTTTGGTTAGTTGTTACTTTGTTTCTTTTTTACCTTTGATCTTTGTCTTTTTCTTCGTTTATAAATTATTTTATTTTTAAAAAACCACATTCTTTCGTAAACAATGAGATAAATAGACAAATACTGTAATTATTAAGTCATTTTTTGTATAAAGTAGCAGTGGAGGTGTTCACAAATGAATCGAACGGTCTTTTAATTATTTAACGAACATTCACAAAGTTTTACTAAATTGTAGCAAATTCATAAAATGATGAGTAATTTTCACTTATCCACGTCTTCCTGGGGCATCGTCCTTATATCAGTATGATACGAGATTTTTTTAATGAATGGGTGGATAATAAACTTTGTACGAACCATTCAAAAAAAGGACAAACGTGGCGAAATGCTGATTTCATTTATTTCGACTTTAAGAAAAAAAATATTGTACTTACAGTATAAACTGTAAGCGTCACCAATCATTTTAGCAATCTTTACATTATCGGAATATTTATATTGTTATTATTTTGCCCAAGAAAAAATACAAATTTGTCTAAAGATTGGAAATGTAAAGAGGTTTTGAGGTAAATTCAATTATGCTGTTTATGCCATCCACATCTATGTTAGAAGTACATGTTTATATTACTTAATACACAGTTCAACGCTATTAATATATTTCAGTTAATTAAGGTTTTTAGTTGAGATAAAAAAGTCAGTGTCACGAGCGGGATTCGAACCCACGACCTTCGGCTAGATACGCCGCTACTCTACCTGAGCTATCTTGACTTCGTTCCACTCGGACACTAACTTCCCATCTCAACCCCACCTTTTCCTTCCTTTTTGTCATTTGTCAATTATTGCTTGCTATTAATATAAATTCGATACAATTTCAATTTTACTATAACACAATAGGTGCGCGAAAAAATGGCGAATCCAAAATTATATTCAACAATCAATTAATAAATCTAAGACGACAAATCCACAAAAATATTCAACCATTTTCGTATAAACACTTTGTTTTGGTATCGTTTCTTGGGGTGATACATGTTTAAATTAGTTAATTTGATCTAAATCGCATTTTATTAATATTAATGACACTATTGAACATACACATTGTTTCTATAACCCAAATGGTAAATCCAAAAATAATATCAAATCCACAGAAATAATGAGCAACTTTAAATTATACTATTCCTTCAGGTAACCTCCTTTTGCCGAATAAGCCGAGATTAATTAGTTAATATGGAGCTAAACGTCTTAAAGTAAAATAAATGACACTATTGGACGCACTATTGGTGATTGTTGCTAAAACTCATTAGCTACAACACATGCCATATACACAAAAATAACCAGCTATTTTCGTTTGTACAATTCTACCTTGCTTCAAGTAATCTGAGGTTAAATTAGTTACTCTGAATTAAAACCGTATTTTATTAATATAAATTTGTTCCTTGAACATTTTTATTGTTACTGAATGACAATAGTTACTTCTAAAAATGGCATATCCACAAAAATATTCGGCAATTATCATTTGTACATTTTTTCCTTGTGTCGTCCTTTCTTATAGTAATCTGAGTTTAAATTACTTACTGTGAATCTAATATTCAATATTTAAATTGCTACTAAAACGCAATTTAAGAAGGTTCAAAAATGGCAAATCCACAAAAAAAAATCCATTTTAAATTATACCATTCTTCCTGGGGTAGCTTTTTATTGGAAAAATATGGATTTAAATTATTTAATATCTATCTAAATCGTTTTTTATTACGATATATACTTGAACATTTCCATTGTTACTAAAACACTAGGTACGTCCCAAAATGGCATATTCACAAAAATATTCGACAATTTTCGTTTGTACACTTCTTCCTCGGATAGTTTCTTATAGTAATCCGAGTTTAAATTAATTAATATGAACTAAAGTTTTATTACTATTTTGTTATTGTAAATATTACAATTGAACATTTGCATTGTTACTAAAACAGAATTCGTTCATTCAAATATGCACTATCCGTAAAAATATTCAACAATTATCCTTTCTTCCAGTAATTCGACATTAAACGATTTATTATTTATCTAAACCGTTTTTATTAATTTAAATAATTGAATATGAGGGGGGATCTATACATTGTTATTAAAACAAGTACATCGAAAGATGGCATATTCACAAAAATATTGAGCTATTTTCATTTACACACTTCTACCTGGCTTAGTTTCTTGCTTCAAGTTCAAATTAGGTAATATGCACGTAAATCCTCTTTTATTACTAAAAATTACAATATTGAACATTTACATTGTTGCTAAAACATCAGGTACGTCCAAAAATGGCATATTCACAAAAATATTCGACCATTTTCGTTTGTACATTGACTTGGTTTCACAATCGGAGTTTAAATTATTTTAATTACTAATCATTTTAATTTAATTTTATGTCCTTTGTTAATGCAAATAACAATATTGGGTATTTAAATTGTCAATAAAACACCTTAGGTATATCTAAACATGGCATATCCACAAAAATATTCAACGATTTTCGTTTATCCTTTCTGGCATAACGTTTTGGAGTAATCCGAGTCTACATTATTTAATATGAATCTAAACCCTCCTTTATTAATGTAAATAACAATATTGAACATTTACATTGTTACTAAAACACTAGGTACGTCCCAAAATGGCATATTTACAAAATATTCGACAATTTTCGTTTGTACAGTGGCTTAGTTTCTCACTCTGAGTTTAAATTATTTTAATTAATAATAATTTTAATTGAATTATTAATAGTTTAATTATTAATGCAAATAACAATATTGAGTATTTAAATTGTCACTAAAACACCATAGGTATATCTAAACATGGCATATCCACAAAAATATTCAACGATTTTCGTTTATCCTTTCTGGAATAACTTTTTTGAGTGATCCGAGTTTAAATTATTTAATATGCATCTAAACCGTCTTTATCAATATAAATAACACATCTACTGAACTATACATTTTTACAAAAACACAACAGGTGGAAAGATGGCATATTCACAAAAATATTCTACAATTTTCGTTTATTCTTTCTAGCATAAGATTTTGGAGTAATCCGTGTTTAAATTATTTAATATGTACATAAATAGTCTTTTATTAATATAACTAACTTTATTGAACATTTCCATTTTTACGAAAATACAAAGTAGGTACTTCGAAAGATGGCAAATGCACAAAAATATTCGACAATTTTCCTTTATACACTTCTTCCTGGCATTGTTTCCCTCAGTAATTCACATTTAAATTAGTCAGTTTTTTTAATTTAAATAAATAGGACTTTTGCCCAGTTTTCATCTTTCTTAATCATAAAAGGTACATTTAAAGATGTTATATCCACAAAACTATTCAAAAAATTTAAATTTTATCACCAAATCAACATATAACATAAAACCTGACTAGATAATAATAATACGGATAATGCCCATCCATTGAAACAGTTACAAGTAATATATTTATATAATTTATCATCTAATTATTTAATTTCAAATAAAATATTTATAATGACGTGCTAGTTTTGTAGTATGATTAATGATGATGTATATTCTGAATAGTCACTATGCTACCCAACAGTATAGATATTAATAATACATCTAAAGCCAGTTTGAAGAGGAATTTGAAAGGTACTTGTAACACAATGGTCAATAATTACGTATAGCATTAATAATATGTATACAATTGTATACAATAATTACATACATAGCAATAAGTACATCGGGTGTATGTGTATGTGTGTATATGTACATGTACACCGGATATGCTGGTTGATTGTTGTACGTATGTATAATTAATTAATATTTACAATTGTTTTTATTTACTAGTCAAATCCCAAATATTATTTTTGTATCCAAATATTGATATCTAAATAGTACTGTATGTTATTATTTTTCTTATTTTATTATTGTCAATGTTTAATATTTTAATGTTTTTCGTGTTTTAAATGCTCGTCTTTTTTGTAAGTACGGTAGTGAAATGGGATATTGCCAATAAATAAATACTTTGAACGTAAATGTTGTATTGTTGCTGTTATTGCTAAGTAGATTGTGATCTATGTTGCTGTCAATGGAATTCATTTTCTACGATTAAGTCAATTATGTATGAGATCCAAGGGGGAGAAATGCAGGACTCACCAATTCGTCTGTGTAGCGCGGCTCCCTCCGGATCCTCGCCCACCTCAAAGGTAGACCTGCTCCGTTGCAGAAGTAGAGTATCAACAGGTAGAAACAATACTTATTCGACCTCACGACCATATCCATATCGGCCAACCGTGTCAATCTCAGGGCGTACGAGGCACGTCCATCCCAGCCGGATGGGAGTCGGGCTTACACTGATCCATCCACCAACATTGCGATTGTTTGCTTCGCCGCTGCCATGGTTACCCATCCCCTCCTTCGGGATTCTGGAGACGTCCCGGCTGGCATCTTAAATAAATACGGAGTCTGGATTGTTCACGATATGTATTCCCTGCCAAGGAGTTATAAAATGTATATTATAATCAAATGATATGTACCCTCAAAATTATGGCACTTCCTACTCTCTAAACAAAAAAAAAGTTTAAGATTAGACAAATCATAACAAAATACTACTCATTATAGAAGTATAGAACTACTGAAAAACTATTTGAAACCTGAAGATCCGAACTAAGAAAAAAAGCAATCTGCGATGATTGGTCAATTAACTTGAAAACTGGATTGACAGGATCTCCAACAATTTAAATTAATTTCGCCATATCTCAAATTCCTAGAGCCTAATTGAAATGCAGAAATCATCACTGATGCATGTTTAAAAAAATTCTACCAATGAAACCTTAGAACAAGGAATTTGAACACGTCATATCTGAGGGTGAACTTAAGCAAAATTTAAACGCTTAGGCAAATAGGCAACCCTTGCCAGAAGAAAAAATTCTTTCCGTTGCATGCCTTATTAACATTGAATAGGCATTTGGTGTCGGATGGGTTGTTTGAGTCCTGAACAATGTACCCTGTATAATTTCTGAACGGACTGTCATTTAGCGGTCTTGAGACGTTTGATCTCAGGTCATTTGGCTGGAACGGCCCTGCCTGGGATTGTTTGATTCTCCAGCGGAGAATCCGTTGCAATATTCTGTTAAACGTTGCATCGAGGTGCAAACGTACGTTCCGCCCAGGACAATTGTAAATCAAAACAAGAAGATAATTCGCTCCTAAGCAGTTCTGCACACAGACTAAGGTTTTACAAATTTGTTGGATTTCACCGTCCCCCATTATGGGATCTTCACTAATTGGAATGATTAATGTTAAGCATAAAAACATACATTTAATTAATAATAATTTTTGTTCAATTCTTTTAAGAAAAACTGTACTATGTATTTTGAAAAATTTGAATGATAAATCAGGACAGTTTTCAAATTTGTGAAAATACATATGTACATAGGTAGACATCTTGGTCTTAGCCATCTTCAGTAATTGGGACTAAACTGTCCCATAAACCAGTTTGGAAAAGTCGGAAAACCGTAAAAAAAAGAAGAATCTTAAAAGTTGCAAATTTCTGAACATTTATCAGAAGCCTTCTTACTCTTAGCCATCTTCAGTAGTTGGGACGATGAAGACCAAGTATAAAATCATAAACCATATTTGTAATTTGATAATCCAATAATGATGTATGATTTTTATGGATTATGGTTTTTCTGTATTTATTTAGTTTGGAAGAATCTGTGAGTTTTAAAAGATTAAGCAGGATCCTAAAAGTATCTCAAATTTGTTGAAATATTAGTGGCCACCCAAGTCTTTTTAACCTTCACTGGTTACATAATAGCATTAACTCTATTTTTATTAGATAATATAATTTTAAATTTGTTTGTTCAATATTTTTTCATGAAAACTATTTGTAATAACTAAAAATCAGAATGAAAAAGCAGGACGTTATAAGTTTCAAATTTCTGAACACACATTTTAGTCTTAGTTGTCTTCAGTAGCTGGGATGATGATGTCCAAGTATAAAATCATAAACCATATTCATAATTTGGTAATCCAATAAAGTTGCATGATTTTTATGGATTATGATTTTTCTCAATTTTTTTTTAGTTTGGAAGAATCTGTGAGTTGTAAAAGATTAAATAGGATCCTCTAAGAAATCTGAAATTTGTTGAAGTATATCAGTGGACACCCTAGTCCTTGTTACCTTCAGTGGTTGCATAACAGCATTAACTCTACTTTTATTAAATGATAAAATTTTAAAATTTGTTTGTTCAATGGCCATTGGTCATTGATATTTGTTTAAAATTTTTGAAATTCATTTAGGTTACTGATTTTTTTTTCTTTATTTTCACACGTTTTCAATCATCATACACAGTTTTTTTACATGTCAAGCAATTTGATTATTTATTAAAATTATGAATTTCTAATATCTTACTGGGAGAGAATTGTCTCACCATTGAAGATAACAAAGACCAGGATGACTACTGACATATTTTCCCAAATTTAAAAAAAAAATAATTTTTGAACTTTTTCAAGCTACATAAATAGTATTTGTACAGAAAGAAAAGAAAACAATATTTAATTAACCAGTAGAACCAGCAAGTAGAAAATCATTCTAACCACCAATAACAAAGTCCAGAATGATCTCTGATATTTTTTCACAAAACACAATGGAATCCTGCTTATTTTTTACAATTTTCAGATTGAAAATAAAGGATGACCACTTATATCAGTTCACAATTTTCAAATTCTTTTATGGTGCTGATTTTTCTTTCTTGTTTTAGGACTTAAAACCCAGAAAAACAGAAAAATGAGGAGCATTTTCAAATTTGTGAAAAAATATATGTATATAGGTAGACATATTGGTCTTAGCCATCTTCAGTAATTGGGACAGTTTAGTCCCAATATAACGGAATAAAGCAGTTGGGAAAAGTCGGTAAATCGTAAATAAAGGAGGAACCTTAAAAGTTGCCAATTTCTGAACATTTATCAGTAGCCTTCTCAGTAGTACTCTTAGCATATTCAGTAATTGAGATGGTGAAGTCCAAGTATAAAATCATAAATCATATTCATAATTTGATAATCAAAAAATGATGCATGATTTTTATGGTTTATGGAGTTCTAAAAGATTAAGCAGGATCCTATAAGTATCTGAAATTTGTTGAAATATTAGAGGCCATCCTAATATGTTTAGCCTTCCGTGGTTACATAATAGCATTAACTCTATTTTTATTAGATAATATAATTTTAAAATTTGTTTGTTCAATATTTTTTCATGAAAACTGAAGTATTTGTATAGTCTAAAAATCAGAATGAAAAGTCAGGACCATATAAGTTTCAAATTTCTGAACACAGGTCAGTAGCTATTTTAGTCTTAGTCGTCTTCAGTAGTTGGGACAACAAAGTCCAAGTATAAGATCAAAATCCATATTATCAGAAAAAATCTGGAATTCATAAAAAATAAACAGAATCCTATAAGTATTTGAAATTTGATAAAGTATATCAGTGGCCATCCCTTCTCTGTTACCTTTCAGTGGTTGATGCAATTTTCTGCTGACATAATAGCTATGCTACATTAACTATACATTTAATAGATAATAAAATATTGATATTTGTTTGTTCAATATTTTTTAGGAAAACTGAACTATCTGGCAAAGTCTAAAAATCAGATTAAAAAGCACAACTTTAAAAGTTTCCAATCTCTGATCATATACCAGTAGCCATCTTGGGCTTGGTCATCTTCAGTAATCAGGACAATTAAGTACAAGTATAATCATACAACATCATAAAAATAGTTTTAATAAGCAATCAAATAATGCTGCTTGGTTTTTATTGGTTATATGTTTTTATAAGTTTTTACAAGTCTGGACATTGTAAAGAATAAGCAGGATTGCATAAGAATTTGATTTTTTTCAAAATATAGCTAGACTTATCTAAGTCCTGAAATAAGAAAGAAAAATCAGTACCATAAAAGAATTTTAAAAATTTTGAACAAATATTAATGGTCATCCATGGGTCTGTTATCTTCAGTAATCTTCTTAATATATAGTTACATATTGATACTTGTCTGGTCAATTATTTTTTTTAAACAACTATATATTCGTAAAATATGTGAAAACGTGTAGAATAAGCAGGACCTTATAATTCTTTCAAATTAGTGATGTTATATCAAAATCTTCGTTATCTTCTGTGAATTCATGATTTACTTTGTTTTTGTATACACAGCTTTTAATTTAATTATGATAATATATTACACTTATACTTTTTATTACTAGACTTGAAGTTGAATTTTTATTTAAATACCCCGATGGCTTGCCATTTCTTTTAACTGCACATACAGTATGAAATGTTTTCTTTGAATGTATTTATTAGTGTGAGTGTTGGAGTATGTGTGGTTAGGTTTGTGATGGATTATAGAGTATCCTGCCCAATTGGGGCGAGACACTGGTGTAAAATTAAATATCCTGGTGACTCGACAATATTTTAACTGTATATACTGTGTGAAAGATTAGATTTTGTATGAATGTAATTATTAGTGTAAATTAGGGTGGGATCTCAGTGGAATACTGAGTACATTGAGTACCAGATAAATTAGAATAGCCTGGCTTGGTGTGAAAGTGTATGTTTTAAATTTATTGTTTAAGTCTTATTGCATACGGTAAAATTAGAAAAATTATATCTCATTCATCCTGGTTATGTGTCAGCATTTGGTATGATTCACTCCCAAAAAAAAACCAGCATAACAACGTTAATTGATATTGAAGCTTGGTTTTTATTGTCTTAAGAAAAACTGCATTTATTGCTTGGAAATCTCTGAAAATAAGTAGAAAAATACCTACCATAAAGAATATCCAAATTTGTGAACATATATCAGCAGTCAACCTGGCTTGGTTGAGGCCATTCTCCCGCAGCATAATGATGATGATGATGACAAGATACCAGGAAGCTAGGGTTTGTTATTCCCAAGCCCTGCAGCCTTGTGGCTTTATTGGACTTTTCCTAGTTACTAAGTTCAGTTTAATAGACTCGATCTTTTGAGTAATAAGGACATAACTTCTCCATTGATCAATTATTTCGCATATAAATCAATATTTTGCCTGAGAAAAAATCAAATAATATAATATAAAAAGTCTGGAATGGGTGGAAAGACACAATTTTAAATAATTTTCCATTTTTAACCTTACTCCAATTATGATATTTCATTTGAATTGTTAGATCAAACTATTTGGTCAATTGTATCTTCTTAATTCATTTTTCTGGGATTAAGTAAAGCAGCATATACAGTATAAATTTGTATTTGATAAGAATAATATGTATATTTTTGCCAAATGAAAACTACCAATGCAAATGACAAATTTTAGAACATGAAAAGAATGACATAATTTAAAAAAATTT